CAAATCTAACACTGGGGCAGGGAGGAACGATGGCGCAAAGAGGAGTGCCACCACCGGCAGCTGTACAAGCCCCCGGTCAGCAAATGGTGGCGATGACCCGGGAGGAGATGCAGAGGATAGCGGCGGCCGCAGCGGCGCAGGCGGTGCAGCAAGTTACGAGCCATACATCTCATGCCACCACTGCACCGACCACGGTGGCCGGAAGCCAAGATAAGGATGTGTCCAGTTATGGAGAGGGAGGAGCTGGAAGAGATCGGGCGATGGAAAGGATGGCGGTGCAGTTGCGCCAGTTGCAAGACAAGGTGGAGGGGTGGCCAGAGAGGAGAGCTCGAGGACATCCCTTTTCGAGGGAGATTCTCGCTGCTCCTTTGCCGAACAATTTCAAGGAGACCAACTTGGTGTGTGATGGGTCGTCTGACCCGTCGAGGCATGTGAGGACCTTTGAAAATATGGTTGTGTTGCATGGATATTCTGATTCTGTTTGTTGCAGGGCATTCTTATCGACCTTGCGCGGAGGAGCACTTTATTGGTTTCATTAATTACCCCCTGGATCGATTGCGGATTTTGAGGACTTTACCGGCAAACTTATCAATCAATATTCGAGCGCGGTGGTGCAGGAGAAGACGTATTTGACTCTGATGGCGATGAGGCAGGGGGAGAAGGAGTCATTGAGGAAGTATGTTGCTAGATACAATCAGACGTGCTTAGAGGTGCACTCGGCTTCGGATGAGGTGAAGGCGGGAGGATTGATAAGGAGTCTTCGAGCAGGGCCTTGTCGAACTTCCCTGGCAAAGACCCCTGCTCGATCATATGAGGATGTTCTGAAGAGGTGCAGGAATTACATTAATTTGGAGGAGATGGAGATGGAGTTTGCAAAGCTGGAAGGGGTGGCTCGACCAGAGCCAATGAAGGAGAAAAGCCCGCAAAGGGGAAGATCGCCGAGGAGAAATTCGCCCAAAAGGAGTGGACAGAAGAGGGCGTCGCCCTGAGGGGAGAGTCGAGACTCAAAAAATGAGAAGAGAGATGAGTGGCA